CCAGATATAACCATGATCCAGGAATTACCTAATCGGGGCGATCAGGGTTTAGAAGGGGGGCAGTGTAACGGAAATGGCCTGGGGTACTCAAGTTTGGAATGGGGGGATCGAAATTCATGGTATTACAGTAAATGAAAGCTCCATTTGCGCCCCTTTTACTGTCAAATATGACACTGACAAGCGGGAAATTTCGCAATTAGTCTTACCTGGAAAAAACTATATAAGCGGCGCCGAGAACCATGGGGAGTCAGTGAAGTGACAGCAACGACCGGGTGCAGAAGAGGTTAAACCCCGCGAGTCGGAAGAGCGAGTTTTCCGTTTGTTATTGTTATTGTTTGTAAAGTTGACGGTAATTTTGAAGTTTTTGTTATACACTGTTGCTGATCTGCATTTTATGGAAACAACTTGCTTAAACTCGGAATGTAATTAAACAGCACATGCTAATCTGTTCAATGGGGCAAACTAATTGTACCATTGCAAGTTCTTCCACTAAATAATTTAATTTCTTGTTTCAGCCTGCAACATTCTGTTACAACTAGATGAAACTTATACCATTCGAAATTACGATAGAAGATCGAATTGCAGTATTAGTTCCTTGTTTCCAGCGGGTGTTAAGATATTGGATATCAATGTAGGAATTACACCCACTCGTGAAAGAGGCACACAGTTTGAATTGGGCACTTTACACAAGGTTCGGTCTGAGGTAGTGCATGCAATCCGTAGTAAGATTTAGAATACTTAATGTTTGAGATGACATTTTTTGGTTAAAATATCAGTTATATTTATATCATGCACATGTATTTTTCATCAAGTGTTAATCGTTACTGCTTTTTTGGCTTTTTCAGTTTTGTATTTGATAGTCAGGAGCTGCAGAAAATATAATTTTGGTCCTAGTTTTTCGTTTTTCAGTTACTTTGGATTTAACCTTAGTAATGTCTGGCAGGCTGTGGTTTCCATGAGATGATATAACTCACAATTGCAATATAATATTTCCAATTAAAATAACAGATAATAAACTTCAAGAAGTTTAAACGCGAAGAAAAACGTGTAGTTAATCCTTGAAAAATGTCAATCCAATAAAAGTATATTCATGCAGTGTAATACATAATTAAGAAGGCGCAAATGAGTCTTTTAAAAGTAATATGATATACAGGGTGATTCAAAATTGGCGTTTAATTTTTTAAATTCATTAAAAACTGACAAATCTGCAACTGCATCAGAAAAACGGCAACAATGTTTTTCAAGGTAATCTGCCTAATTAACATTACGTAAATACTTGTTGCTTCGTAAGTACTTAAAACTCTGATAACCATGGATAAATAGAGAAAGTGACAATGATATAGTCAAGGGTAACCGGTAAATTCAACAGGAATCTATTTCAAAACTTATATCCTCGAACTATTAATGTGTTTACAAGTTACAAAAACATACATTGGAGTGTAACTTCAAGCAAGTGTCTGTGTAATTACCTTATTATGAACTCTTCGCGAGCAGCTTCTCGTATTCAGTTAATTTACTCCTGTTTAATTTATACCGCTGTTCAGTAATCCATTGGTTTAATGTCAAACTTACATACGTGGTAGGAATTTTGACGGTATTTATTTAGTGCCTGAGAAAGTGGCAATTGTTGTGCAATGTTCTGAGTGCCCCTGGAAGGCTTTGCTGCAATTATGTCTAATACTTGCTCTTGTGTGTCTGAAATCCGAACATCAATTGTCGTCCAATATTTTTCGGGAACCACTCCCCTCGCCCTTTGTTGGCATGAGTTCTTTCAGTTTCTGCTATGTTACTGTAGCATATCCGCAAAGTCGGGATAGGAAATTCAAAGTAAGTCACAGTTTGGCAAATTATTGTTATTATTGACAAGGGCTATCCACTTGTAACTAGCCGTTAATGCCAAAAAAAACATTGCCACTTTGACTTTTCATCAAAAAATTGTAAAAAATTACTTTTTAAGTATAAAAATTTTTCGTAATTTGAAGCAATGATCGTAATTTGTCTTTTTTAATGTTTCCCATTCCAATATGTTTGCAATTAAACATGGAACACTTTCAAAATAATGCTTAATAACAAAGTTGAAATTCGATTTTCAACTGTTAATATCTTCTAGAAATTATCGAAAAAACAAATTTTAATATTTTTCTCGTACCTTTCAAGTGAGCCACTATTACCTCCTAAAAGGAATGATGCCAATTTTGAATCACCCTGTATGTGTTTCAATTCAAAAACACAAATTTCAAAGCGTTGTTGACTCAATAACCCTACCGACTTTCTCACCGAAATCTACCTGCATCCCTTACAAACCCAAAGCAAACTGAAATGACCAAAAATAGAACAAATCGTTTATCCCCGCCATTATTAACCTAATCACAACTCGTAACGGCCTCGAACACACTAAATACAAAAATTATCAAAATAAAAAACGAGTTTAAAGAAGAATCAGCAACCCGACGCGGTCGGAATACCTCAGACATTGACAAATCTCAGGCGTCGCCACAAATCTGTTTTTAAAAATTATTCCTTACTGTAATTCTAAACACGTTGGAGAGTTCAAGACATTTTAAAAGCCAATAATTAAATGCGTTTGTTCGGAACAATGATTGCATATTTGCATAATAACCATAATAACCAAGCGGAGAATGAATTGCCTGCCTTAATTCGAAATGTCGTGAATTTAGTATAAGTTGTGAGTGAATGGTAATTAACGAACAAATATAATTTAAAACCCTAACAATTATTTTGGATGAAATTTTTAATATTTCACCAAATTTTGCATTTATTCTGAATGCAGCTTATAAAATTGTATATGACGTCTACATAATGTAATGATATGTTAAGGTGGAATGCAAGCGGGAAAATTCAATTAAACTGGTTTTAATTACTTGGTATGACTACAATAGCACAAAAATTAACTCGAAATGTTTTGAAGGCAAATTTTATGTTTGTTGGAAATTGAAATTCGTAAATGCATTTAAAGAGAATTTACGAGAGCGGCAGTTGTTACTATCAACTGGAAACAACCGCTCGTCATGCTGTAGTTATATATGATCCATAACTTTGCAATCCTGCTATTGCTCTGATAAAAAGTACGAGAACTAAAAAATAAGTTGAGCAACCAAAATTAAAAACTTACATTTCTCGGTCTTAGCTAAAAATTATACATACACTTGATGCTAAAGTTTGGAACGTTTTCTTTTGGTGCCGTGCAGATTCCTGCGTAGGAGTTAATCCTTTTCTATTCCCATCATATGCTTCTATTAATTGTAGCATTCTGCAATGTCTGGAAGTCCTTTATCCCCGTCCATTCATGGATATTTGTAGCCTTTCTAAGATAATGTCTTTCTGCCCATTCCGGTTTTTCCTCCCTCAATTTTACCTTGAAGAATACCGGCTCTTCGGAGAATGTCTTCATATGGAGAATGTCAATATGGTCGACCAACGGCACTTTGAACATTCGGCGCCGAATTCACATCTCGAAGGCTTCTATTTTGTTGATGACTGTTGCTTTGATCGTCTATGCCTCAACCCCGTATAGGAGAACGGAACAAATATAACACTTGATTGTCCTATATCTGAAGTTAAACTCTAAGCTCTTGTCTGTAAGAAAATTTTGAAGTCCTAGAACAGTTGTTCTAGCCTGCTCGATCCTGCACCTTATCTCTTGATCCGGATCCCATTCTTTATTTATTATGCATCCCAAGTATTTAAACTGTGTGACTTGTTCGGTATTCTCTTCATTAATATGAATTCGGGTGTGTGATCGTTCCTATTAGCAATCGTAAACTTGGTTTTGCTAATGTTAAGTTTCAAATCTAGTATTTGGCTTTCTTCGTTCACCCGATCTAACAGATTTTGGAGATCTTGTGGGTTTCTGCCATTATCACGGTATCATCCGCATATCGGATATTCTTTATGGGGATTCCGTTTACTTTAATACCAAATGGGCTATCTGAGATTGCATCGGAGAATGTCCTTTCCACGTACAGATTGAACAGCATTGGGGACAGGATACATACCTGGCGATTTTTTAATTTCAAAGTCTTCAGTTGTTCCAGAGTTGCTTACTCAGATTTCTGCTTTTTGGTGCCAATACAGATTACCAATCAGTCTTACATCTTTTCCATCCAGTCCCAAATCTCTAAGGTACGTTATCAGACGATTGTGCTTAACGTTGCCAAATGCCTTCTCATAGTCAATCGATAATGTCTGGTTTGTAAAACTCAAAGAAAGAGTTTTTGAAAATGGCTCATTAAACTGATGAGACGGTAGTCTTTACACAAAATTGAGCTGTTCGATTTTGGTATTGTCATGAACGTGGAGCGGGGCCAGTCTTCAAGAATATGTCCGGTGAAATAGGAGTTGTTGAAGAGTCGTACGATCATTTCAAGGTTTTGTTCGTTAATTAAGTGAAACGTTTCCGAGTACATATCATCCGGACCCGCAGATTTTTTATTTTTCATTAAGTTGATGGCATGTACGATCACACTTTTTATTATGCTTTATTAAAGTTTGGAACTGATTCGCAGAAATGTAATGTTTTGAATGTCGGTTAATTAGGTCTGATAAGACTTTTCAAATGAAATAAAAACATGCTTTATTGCCACAAAAAAAAATTACCAATTTTAGGCACAAAGCGAGTAAAAAGGAAAATGCTGCAAAATATACCTAGTACGTACAAAGACAGTCAGCAATGGCGAAAAAACAATACAAAACAGAGCACGTATAATCATAATGGACGGGACAAGCACAGAGGTCATCAAAGCAAGTCAACCCCCACTTACAAGCGGTGCAGAAAACCACACAAATTCAAATTAGAAAAGCATGGGTGAATGACTGTTGACTTTGTTTGGCTTCGAACTAAAATTTAATGTTCATATAAACGTTTAGCGAAAAAGATTGGAAAAGTGCTACATCAGCTTTTACTTTCTCAGGGAAATTAGCTAAATTAGCTGATATCAAGCAACACACAGGTTTACAAGTTTATTATGTATAAGATCTGACCTATTTAGGGTCACCGTAAACAGGGGCACCTACCCTTGATGTAGTTTTCGACATTGTTGTTTATAGGTTCTAGGTTTTGAAGAGAACAATTCAAAAGTGACGCTTATAAACCTTAACACGTTGCTGTGTTAGAAAATTTGTTTTGAAAATTGTATCGTATTAGAATAAAAAGCAATACAGCATCATGTATATTAGTATTTTCCACTGGGTGTCCCAATTCCCAGTAGTAGATATCAATAATATTGCCAAAACCACATAGATCTTTATTAATCTTAATAATAAAATCACACTCTACTTTCAGGTAAGTATAATATTTTCTCCCAAATTGAGAAATCGTTTTGAATAAAGTGTAACCGTCGACTATCATTTGCATATTGCAAATCAGAGTCGAGCTGAAGAATTATATTCCTCAGGAGCATTACAAGCAAGCATTGGTCGCGAATCGGATTGCAATTTTCCCGAAACCTTCAGAAAAGTGTATTTTGTTGATCCTCTGGTGGAAAGTACGTACTTTCGCCACCGTCAGCTGGCTGTTTTGATAACATTTTTCATCGTTTTTTTTTCAAAACCTTATACTTTTCCGGCTAGTTTCCACCGAGGATCAAGAAAAATAGTATACGGTACGCGAGACGAATGTCGCGGCC